TCCACGTGCATCCATCGAACCTGACATTCGCCACGTCGCCCGTCATCGCCCCTATCAGCACCGTCAGGCTCATGCCGCCCCCGCTGAACGTCACGTTGCGGTAGCACAGCCACGACAGCCCACTGCCCACTGCCTGCGCCACCTCGGGGTACACCATGTCACTGATGCACTCGCCAATCGGCGGCGGTGGCGGCGTGGGTATTGGTGGCAGTGGCGTGGGCGGTGGCGGGCCAGCAGGCACAGGCGCCGGGACGCACACATCGCCGTGCCCTCCAGCAGCGCACCGGCACTTGCAGTCGCTGACCGCCGCCGTCAGCGGAGCAAAGCAGTCGCCCTCCTTCGTGCACTCCCCGCACGCGGTAACCGTCGTCACGTTGATGATGCCGTGGAGCTCCAGTTCAGCCGCCGTCGTCACCACACGTCCCGCGACCGTCAGACACCCAGCAAAAAACCGGTAGCCGGCGTCAGCCTGCGATAGCAGAGGTACCGACAACCCCGTCGAGCCCATCTTGCAGCCCGTCAGCGTCAGCACACTACTGCCGTCGACGCTCCCAAAAGCGGACACAGTGTCGTAGAACATCGCACCCACCTCCACTTTGTTGTCACGCCAATCCAGCCAGCTTGACCGCTGAACAGTCCACAAGTCATTGTTATAGATGGCGTAGCGAGCTGAGCCGCTGTTCCCCACCACGCGCAACACGCTGTGATCCGACACGTTGAATACTTGTCGCTGATACAGCAGGCTTACCCCGGAGAACATCGTATTGTTGAGAAGCGTAAAAACAGAGTGATTGCGGACACTGAGACTGTACGCGTAGAACAGGTATTTGTATCCCTCAAAGCTGCAGTAACGCGCGTACAGCGAGCTGCCACCCACCAGCGTCAGCGTCCCTGTCGAGTACACAACGAACGCATCACGCTTCGTCGCATGCGCCTTGACGTTGCTGATCAACAGCGAGGACGCACTCAACACGACGTCCTTCAGCATCACGAAGCTCAACGTGTTCATCCTAGTGTCCGGCAGTTCAGACTCGGAGGTCTGCACCGCATCCACCTCCGTGACGGCGATGTCGCAGTGCTGCGGGAGGGCACGTACAAAAGCAACGGTGGAGGAACGCATCACCGTCTGGCTCACGCGGATCAGGACACCCAGATGACTCACCGCCTCAGCACCCCCAAAAACTGCAGCGCGGCACCCTCACGAAATGTGCACCCAGTGA